CCCCCCCACCCCCTTGGGTGCGACTTCACATCCATGTTTTTCCAGTGCACGAACAGAACTCTGAAGCCGGCGCGAGGGGATTGATTGGGAATGTACACAAGATTACGTAATTACAGGGATTAAACGTGAATTTTGAGGGATTACACTTGAGCGTTGTTGAATTTCTCGCTCTAAAACCATGAAATTTCGACAATTAGGTGAAATTTGGTCAAGTATTACTCGGAATACATAAGGATTACATTGGAATTACACCCTCATCTGTACACAGGATTACGCGAGTGGTGGCCCCATCGAGCCGGCGCCTGTCTGTTTTTCGTTTCCCGTGAAACGCGTGTAACGCTCCCCGTCTCTCTGTTCCAGACAGTCCCTGGTGATGGAGAAAGGAGGGGCCGGCGCCCTCCTCCTGGCCTCCACTGTTGAGCACCGCCTGCTGGTAGCCGCAGCGCGAGCCGCAGCTGCGGGGGAGAGCGCCGCTAGCGCAGCCGGCGCCGCGGCCGAGTGGGGCAGCGAGAGCAGGAGCAGCCAGGGCGGCAGCGGCCCCGGGCCGTCCGCAGCACGGGATGAGATGTCGTCGGCCTACACGTCCTCCTCCGAGCCGACCGGCTGGACGGAGGAGCCGTGGGCACGCGGCGCCAACGGCAGCAGCAGCACTCCCGCACTGCTGGCCTCCGTGGCCGCCGCCGCGTCCGGGTACGTCAGCGCCGGCCTGGTGGCCAGCGCGCTCCCCGGCCAGGACGACGCCTGGGCCAACGCCTCCTCCTCGGCCCCCAGCCTGGCCGCCAACGCCACCCGCAACGAGACGCTCCCCAGCGGGCCCGTCTTCTGCGAGGGGTGGGAGGCCGTGCAGAACAACCTCTTTCAGGTCGCCAACCTCTTCTACTGCATCGCCTTCCTAGTGCCGCGGCACTTCAAGCAAAGCGTGCTGCTCTACAGGTATACTTGAGCGCCCTGCGCCCTTAAAGTTCTTCTTATGTAAGACATTTACTCCAATCTGTCACTAAGAGTGTATACGTAAGCCCTAATTCTTGAAGTTGAAGCCAAGTAACTCGTGTCTCGCATGTTTTACACTAAAAACGCACCGAGACATTAAAAAAATAGACTTTTTATTGACTTTCCCAGCAGTGCGGAGAAAACAACAGCTCTCCCTCTGAATAACTGGTGGCGAACACTGAACAATACCCCCCCCCCCCCCCCGTACGGCACAGACGCACAATGGACATGGCAGCAGAGCGGCAACTCTTCTTTCAATTTCCCGGACAATTTGCCGCGCGAATTCCTGTTTCAATTAAAAATTAAATAAGCCGGCCACCGTGGGGCCGGAGGGGGTGTAGAGGGCTAGAGGCAATTAGAAGAGCAGCGCGAATGGCGTCTGAAAGGCAGGGGGCGGGAGAGTGATTCTGTCGCGCGTAGGGCTGCAGCCCCTCGGCTGCACCGCTGCGCCCTCCTGTAGGGCTGCTGCTGGGTGAGTAGCACAACATCGTTTGATCCCCCCCCCCCTCCCCTTCCTTTCTCATTTTAAGCAATCACGGAGATCTCAGAGCAAAGGTCGACGGCGGAGTAGAGGGTGTCTTCGGGCTGTCGTCGTCTGCTCCCCACCCATACAGCAGCACAGCCTCCGTTGCACAAGAAGCCCTCCATCCGCCCGTAACCTCGTCGAGGCCATCGCCCTCTTTTCTCTGCACTCTTTCACTCTCGCTCTTTCCCACCAGTCCCGACTACAAGCCTGAGCGTTGCCCGATGCACGCATGAATTTGTCGTTGTGGTATACTATACTGCTCGCCACTTCTCCAAGATGGGAAGGGTTTGTCGGCCGGGCCCCGGGCCAGCGCAGCGCGGTGACCTTCCCTTTTACGACCCCCACTTCTTTCCACTCTCCCCACTTTCCCTCGGGATGAATATGAATTGGAGCGCGCAGCCCCCTCCCCCCTCTTCTATATATACAAGCTGCAAAGCGTGGTTCTCAAAGAGGCTCCGAGACCCAGACAGTCTCTGGCTGAAGCAGAAGCCAAGAAGAGCAGCCGGTGCAGCCCGTGGCATAACCTTATTAAAAGGATCCTCAAATTTGATGGTACAACATTCGTAGGCTCCCATACACTGAAATTAATTGACCTTTCCCTAATTTCCATTTTTTGGGCCTGCTCCTTATGCTTTTAATCCCCAAGGGTAAGGGAGGGTGGGCCACTTAGTGACAGGGGCACATAGTGACAAATCGCTGCGCTATGGCCCTCCAGTTAACTGTTTGCACCAGCCTCGGTGCATGGAACAAAGTTTTTGACCTCTAGAAACATATACCACAAGCCCGGTGACCTTTCGGTTTTGTCGGGTTCTTGGCCCGACCTACGTCCACTACGAAAGCTCCCCGAGAACAACACACTTGAGCCCTTGTTGGTGACACTTTTGCTTTTGTCAGGTTCCTTCTCGTCTTGGGCTCGCTGCTCACGGCATCGTGGGCGAGCTTCCACCTGTGCGCGTTCGACGTGTTTGTCTGGAACGTGGCCCTGATGGTGGTGAACGCAGGCCATACTGCGGCGCTGGTGGTGCGCTTCCTGCCGCCGGCGCTCTCGCCCGACCTCACCGAGCTCTACCTCAAGGTGTTCCGCCCGCTCAAGGTGTCCAAGAAGGCCTTCAAGGAGCTGGCGCGCGAGGCGGCCGTGCTAACGCTCGAGGCCGGCGACACGTACGCCGTGGAGGAGCAGACGCCGGCCGACGAGCGCCTCTCGATCCTGCTCAAGGGCAAGTAAGTACGCGGGCGGTGCAAAGAGGGGCGGAGTAGATCTCGTTAATATTAGCATTTTATACATCAATTTAAAAGAGCAGGTATCTCGTTGGATAGTTGTACTTTATTTGTAGAGATGACTATAAGACATCGTTCAGACTACGAGCGACACTGTATTATTTTATTTACCAGGTGGCTGATTAACCCCGCTCACCTCTGTAGTTATGCTGTACTGCACGCACGAGTGCGGGTGGGCTTGCCTATCGCCCCTGTAGCGCCTTACGAGCCGAGCGAGTAGGCAACCCGGCGTGCATGCGGTACAGCACACAAACAGAAGTGAGTGGGGTTAATCAGCCTCCTGGTACTTTCATCAACGTACAATATCAGTAGATATAGTTTCTACAATAGAGGTTGTCCCCAACCGGATTAAAATTCAGATAATAGCTTTAGCTACGTAGAACAAAGATAGAACTTGGTCCATGTGAGCCACAGATCCTGCAGCCTCGACTCCCTGAAAGTTAAAGCCAGCAGGGGGTCAGGTGGTCTGCGCCGGGAGCCCCGAAAGTTTAAGCGTCTCGGTACACTGTACCTACACATCCAAGAACAGGGTCGAACCAAAATCCTTACATTGTTATTGCATGACACAATGAAGAGGGATGAAATTATTCATCGGGTAACAATGTGTTCTACGAGAGTGATGATTAATAAACCATCAGCATTAAAGTTGTGGGCCAACAACGCAGTGGACACGCGTGCTGAGAAAATTAGCCTTTGTGTTTTCTACGAGGGGTACCGGGTGATTCAGAGCACGCGCCGCCGTGTTGCGGGTTTGCCTATCCTCGACTCGGCGGGCGCACGGGTGAGAGGTGAGGTGGTGAGGGGT